GAGTGGGAAGAGATGTACGAACAACGTACCGAGGACATACAAATCATCCAGACAAGCAAGATGTGGAGTATAACCGCCGAAAAGAAGAATGATTCCGGATTCTGTTTCAGTGGGATTCCGATACAAACAACTGAAGGAAAAAAGTCTCGTAAATTGTGATAATCCTACGATGTGGGATCCTAACATCATCAAGTACCTGGAAAAACATTCGCGCCGTTCTGGTTGCTGCCCCTCCGCGGAATAGTGGTGCCAAATGGGGTTAGTGAAGTCTTGGGAATCTCGGAATTCCTAGAAAAAAAAATGTCTGTTCGATCGAGAACAAAATCTCACAGAAAGAAATCGCGGTGTTTGATTTGATACAAGCGCATCTTGCGGCATATCGATCGGATTTACTGGAACATCATTCGCATTTGCATAATGTCCAAGATTTGTCACCGATACTCTATTAAAGACGCGATGGCATGAACTCGTAGAAGTCGCCTGTCCGAAAACAATCAAACGAACAAGGGCTCCATGAGAAGAAGAATTTTCTCCAATAGAGAATGAAACCGAATCTCTGTATTCAAATCGAACATCAAGATCATCATTTGATAAATCCTCTTCAAGCATTCCTTGTTGCAATCTCCAAGCATTGGATTCGAGTCCTACTTCCCATATCTGGAGGAAACATGTCAGTTTGTGTCTCATGGATCGATCAATACAAATTGTCATTACCTCATTACATCTGCACAAAAATCAAAAATATGTTCTCTATAAAGTCAATCACCAACTCCGTACCTCATAGCAACATTTCTATCGAACAGTTCAAAGACCCCATACCCTCCACAAATGATCAATCTTCCCGGGAAACATGAATCAACAACAGGATCTCCAAATTGAACTGGAAGTGATTCGGATGAAGCATCGCTGCTTATCGTTTTTCTTTGTCTTTTTGATGCGAAAAACGGCTGCACTTCCGGCATTTGAAAATCGACTTCTGGGTCGATCGAGGCTGGGGCGAAACCCAATGAGGCCTTTAACTGGATTGGACCTTCAGTTGGATTGACGGAAGCTTCCTTCTCACTTTGAAGAACGAACCCGCAATTTCCGCATAAACGTCTCTGTTTGATCCTTTTGATTGGGACATTCTCTTCTTTATCGCCATGAACCAATTGCAAGAGCGCTCCACATCGACCATGAAGAACGGACTGAGGGAGAAATTGGGGCGGTGCTATTGGAGAATTCCACAAATCGATTCTCTCTTCAGGAAGTGTGTGCTTTCTTATACAGCGAATACTCAGCGGGCCATTATGCAACTTAACGCTGAAATAGAAGAATTGAATTCAGGTGTAACACTCTGCCCTTACTTGCGATGGACGCGCGCGTAACATTGAACAGCTGATCGAAAAGATTTGCTGATCTGTTGAAGCTTCGCTTGATCGGATTCTGAAAGAATCATGAGCGACAGATCTTAATAGAAAACAACGTACCAGCAAAAAAACCGACAAAAAGAGAAATTAAATCTAAAGGAAGATTGTTGAAGGAAAAAGAAATATTAGTGAGCGATTTTGATGATGGATTGCCGTTATTTGGTAGAACAGCAAGATCAGAAATAGTTGGTTTTCTTTCAAGAATAACGGCACGAGCATAGGAAGAATAAGGCGCCCTTCGTTTCTTGGGTGAATAACAGAGATCGCCGAAAGATGTTGAAGTTATTGTTGAGTCTTCGCGCTCACGTTTGCACCCCATGGAGTCTCAAGCAACCGCTTTGGCGGCACAACGGACCACCATTTCCATAGATAAAGGCATCGGCCTTCCAAAATACTTCGAAAATAGAACCCCCAAAGGTGTTGCGACGTTGGGAGGAAAAGCTCTCGAGTTAGCGCCCAATCATATAGAACGATAAGCGCCACGAGATCTTGTAAGGATCATGGATGTCCCAAAGAGCAGATTAGTCGACTGCTGAAGGTCAATGAAGAAATGGTCCCAGCGTCAGAAATTTCAGCTTCATCGATTCCATTCGAACGTTTAAAAGCAATAAAGCAACTTGTGCATGATGAATTGTCAGAAAGTGAAATAAAACAGAAAAGAAACTCCAAACGAGGAAGGAGCGAGAGCACGGAAAGTGATTCATTTGAAAGTTCTTCCTCGGACGGATCCCCATTGAAGAGATTGAGAACATCAGATATTAGTGCGGCGAAACTTGAATCAAAAGCGAATAGGAAGCGGTTGGTTGCTTGGTTTTGGAACGCTGTTAAACTGACGCATTTCAGACCACTTGAAGTGACATCCAAGAGACCAGTGTTCTCTCCAGCCTCTCAGCAACCTGGAAAGAAGAAATTTCGTCCAAGAGACCCTCGCTTTTCTGAACTATCAGGTGAGTCGATGTTGCTGTTGTTTCGCTCACTGATCTTTTGATAGGAACGTTGAACTTAGATTTGTTTTCGAAGAGCTTCAATTTTCTAGATGAATTAGAGCAAAATGAAAAGCAAGAAGTCATTCATCAATTGCGACATTCAGGCGATCAATTGTCTGAATATCGAAGAGAGAAACTGAAATCGAAATTAGATCGAATGGTGAGCGTGTTGATAGAATTGTTAAGTTGATAGAATTGTTGATAGACAATAAGACGTCGCTCATGTTGTTCTTCAGAGATCAACTGAACACCATCGTCGAGGGCTCAAAGAACAACAAGATTTACGAAGAAAATTGAATAACCAGGAAAAAGAGCGAATTGTAGAAACCGGAAAGAAGCCTTTTGTGTATAGCGAATGTAAGTAATGAGTGGGAGACCAGAGTGGATGCTGTGATTTGGATTTCAGCGAAAATTAGACAATTGCTCAAGGAAGAAAAGTTTGAAAGACTTAAAAAAGAGGTAAGAATATTGGTGAACGTGTCCCATTATTAAGACGATCCCTCAGGGAAGACTCAACAAACATTTGGTCAAATCAAGGAAGAAACAAGCGGCAAAAGTAGGTGATTATTATGCGTTTACTTGAATCACGTTTTGCGTCAGGACCGACGGTTCATGCCATCATCACGTCAATCGACAGCCGCAGAATAGAAATCTCTTGGTTTATTGCTCTTATTGGTTTCGATCGCTGTGTGTGTTCTTTTTAAAACTTTTACTTCTCTTCAATGAGTGATAGTTGGGTTTCTCGAAATGCGTCTGAAACTCACTTGATGCATCTGTGCAATTAGGGATCAGGGAAATCATTTTCTGAGAAAATCGTTTTCTGTTCTGAATGTGGAAAAAATTTAGAGAAAAAAACAATGCATTCCACTTGAAAAAAAAACGATCCATTCAACGATGATATCTTGTACAAAGTGTTTTCAGAAGACTGAAATATCATTTTTTGGACTCTGTACTACCCAGATCCAGATTTGCCGAAGTGTCCCACACGCATGTGTCCAAAAGGCATGATCGAGAGCACTGCAGAAAATCGAGAGCTTGCCGTTGTTAAAAATGAGTAGGAATGAAAATCTTATGCAACACCAAAATCTGTAAGATTTCTATTTTCTAGAAAACACACATTCGCTTTCCTTCTGTTAGAATCGCAAGTGGTTTTAGCGCTGATCCAATTTTCCAAGAAATGCAAAGTTCTTCGTCCCTACAGCGCACCGCCAGCGAGTCAACAGTTGCTAGTGATTCTCTTCGTGAAATAAGCAGAACGCCAGCATCGTCAATTTATGTGAGTTGTTATTTTCACTCTTTCTGCTGATCTCGCTTCTTCTTCAGCTCGAACACATCGCTCTGCTTGCTGCTGCTCGAATTTATCTCCATAAATTGTCACAAACAGCAGAATTTCAGAAAACGAAACAACTCCATGATGAGCTGTTGAAAGATACTTCACCATTTTTGATAAGTTGTGAATCAGAATGGAGCAGTCTCCACTACGCAAGACCGTCATCGTTCGAGTCCGGCTCAGATGAATCCTTGCTGTCCTTGGCTCAAAGCGACCGAACGACGCCAAGCGACTTCTCTTTCCAGATCTACTGGTTGTTGAAGGATCTAAGCGATCTCGTCAAAAATCAATTCGGATTGCAGCTGTTTGATGTCATTGCGAATGGATTAAGAAATCAAGGAATACAAATCGAGTCTTCTGATTCCTTGACATCATTGCATTCGGGATTGTTGGCATTGGAGACAAAACTTTGGGACTCATTCAGCGGAAATCTTCCGCTTCTATATCGATTACGGAAATTAAGCGACGCTTGGGACATCAATGATCTCGAACAATCGCTAGCTGATCTTCACAAGGATCTCTATCGCTGCAGTGATAAACTGTCCCGCTCCTTTGAGGCGACGACAACACTTGGAGGTCGTCCAAGTCTTTCGATAATTTACGCCGATCTTCTTAGCGGTGGGACTTCCAACCCAAAACCGGATTTGAGTATCGGAGACCATTTGACCAATTCTGTCGCAATTCAGAGCTTAATGACTTTAGCGCAATGCAAGCTACTTTTCCAGACGGCAGGAAAAGTTCTTCGGTATCTAAGAAATCATCAAATAGGCGTCAATTCAGACAGTTGGCCAGCCATGAAAGAAGGCTTGTTCGAAATGCACAAGAGGATCGCAAAATCGATTGAAACCAGAACGGAAACTTTACTCCGATTAATCGCAAGTATTCCATCAAGGCAGTCGAGTCAATGAATAAATCAATATGTGTGTCTTAATTTTTCTTCTCTGTGTCAAGCTGCAAGATTGCAATGGCTGCTTGCTCCTTGTGAACTTTTTCGTGTCGATCCAACTCAACTGAGATTTTGAACAAAGTTACAAAAACAGAACTTAATGTGCACAGGTCGTTGTTCTTCCACACTGATGTCACTGAGAATCGCAATACCAGCATCAAACTATCTGCTCTGGAATTATCAGGACCGGCAAATCTACGGAAGTTCTTCAACATCGTCTCTTTCGTGGAGGCCCAAACTCTCCTATGTGACTAAAGACCGGTAATTGAGTACAAAATGAAATATGTGGAGCCACAAACTAATGAGCGCCATCAAACGGTTTGATAAAGATGCAAGAAGATGAAAGGTTTTCAAAACAATCGGACTCTAGAAATCATTTATCAAACCAACGACATCAAGAAACTGATGGAGAAGCCGATGGACACTTGGAGGAAGTTGTTGTTGAATCTGTTGTTGAGGAACGAAGTGAATCCATCGCGTGGTCTGACATGCCAACATCTCAATTGCCTTCGCTCGAATCAAATCTAGACACAGAAAATCCTTCAAGGATCTCAATATCTTCTGAAGATGATGATGATTCTGAAGACTCTAGTCATTCAGAAGAATATAGTCCTTCAGATGAAGAAGGGAATCACTCAGAAAATGAGGATCATTCTGACTCACTGGAGGATAGCAATTCGAGCGATAGTTCGATCATTGAGACAACTTCTTATGATGACAGTTTATTGTCTAGAAAAAAGATTGATGCTTCCGAACAATTCATTGGTTTCCAGTCTGTCGTATCGAAGCGAAAGCCTTCATGTTCAACCAAATCAGAAGGGGCTGATGATTCGGTAA